GGGATCGCCTAGGAAGCGCCTGTTCCTGTCAGGGACCGTCCAAGCTCGCCTGACCGCCTGCGGTCGGAGCTGCAGCACCCTTCCCAGAGCCCAGCCGCAGATGTCTGCGACAGGCCGCCTCGGGGTTGTCTCCGGTAGCAAACGCGGTTGGAAGGCGATGCAAGCCTTCCGCAGCGGGTGCGGGGACAGGGAGCCACGGGCGGCGGCTGTTTCGTCAGGAAAGTGCGGGGGATGTGTGCTGGCAAGAATCATTTTTCAGGGTCCCTCAGCTGAACTGCAGCGCTCCTTTGGTAGGCTTTTGATTCCAGTGCCAATCGGAACAGCTTTTTTGCCGCCCTTTTTGCTTCGAGTCTGTCTGTGTGTATATAAAATAGATGGCCATCTCACAGGCCGTTAAACGGAGCCAGGGGAGGTGCAGCACACCTCCAAGTGCTGCGTTTTCATCAGTTTCTACAGGAAAGTGTTCATGTGCAGGTCTGATGTGAGTCACTTGGTAAATTCTCTCTTCCCTGCCAGCCACATTGAGCAGGTTTAGGGACAGAGAGACTGTTTGGAGGCTCAGGAACCTGAGTAATTTGTAAACCTGATGGTTTTAATTTATGAACTCGCATTTGTGGCTGTGGAATTTATTTTCTTATACTTGCAGTGCAGGTATAACGACGGACAGTGAACTGTTTGTTTTAATGTAACTGCTGAGGAGGCAGAAATGCCCTATGTTGTAAGAAGTGCTAATACTATTACCACCACTGGCTAAAGATTAAAGGTACATGCAAAGAGAATTTGAGCAGGCTAATGTTTGTGCAGTTTGCTGCAGTTGGAGTTTTAAAAGGAGCTCAAGTGAAGCAAGTACCTGTACCTGGCCTGCCACTAAGCTGGGATCTCTGTGGGAATGGGACATACCTAATGGTACAGTCTGGGAGATCTGTCAGCTCAAAGATGTTATCCTAACCATGCTGTCTGTCCACACTGACTTCAGTCCAAAGACAGGTTAGCTCCCTGAAGATCCCAGATTGTATGTCAAACAAATTTTCTAGGTCACTCTCTGGTAAGAAGGAAGGGTATCTTTTATTACTGGAGAGAAAGAAGTCGCTCCAGTGGTGCCTGCCAACCGCAGTCTCTAATCCAATTACTGTTGTAATGCATGGTCTTTGCAAATGGCTGAAATTCTGGGCTGAGACCTGGCATGGCATCTGTTTTTCATGCACTGCCTTATTCTGGCCTTGTTCTACTGGTTTTCTACAAGGAAATGGGGATTGAGGTGCAATCAAAGAAGTAGTAAGGAAATAATGCCACTGTACTAGGTAAAGAATAAAGTGTGGGGAGAGAAGGCATTCGAGTCAGACCAGTCTAATTTGTGTAGGATTCAAATCCATCCTGCTGTCAATGTGTTCTCTGTCTTAGGAAGTAAGCTAAAAATCTGGATATACCACAGCAATAGTTGAATTTTACTGAATGTTTCACATCCTTTGGTACCTGGTGCGCTGGTGACTTTTCCTCTTGTTCCTTAAGAACCTTGGTTCTCGTAGCTGTAGCAAAGAGTGTTTGTCTTTGTAAGTGCATTTACTGCCTTGTGCTTCCCAGCAAGCTTGTAGTCGTTCATCAGAATTCTCTACTCATACTCTGCTGGCACAGCAAACTGGGGTTTCTGCTTCTCAAAAAGCCTGGTAGGTAGTGCAGCGCCTGGTTGCACACACTGCCTTTGCTATATTGCTCTGGTGAATTGTTAGCTTTTGTGTGGCCACCTTCTAAATTAAACTCTATGTTACTTTACGACATTTATTGAGACAGCCGTAAAGCTAGAATATTTCTCTGTCTCTCAGTGTTTTCATCTATCCTAGTTACTTTTTTTTTTTTAACTGAGCCAATGCATGTACACTTGACAGTCTCCTTTAGATATACACTTATTCCCCACTGTTACCCAGTGAAGTCTGCAGTGACTCTTCCGAGCCAAGCGTCAGAACCAGTACTCTGTCTGTACGTGCTTGGGCTATGCAAAGCAGCTGCTAAAGTCACACTGTTCTTGAAGTCCTTGGCCTCCTTTTCCTCTCTTTGTTACAGGCTGGAGGGCGCAGACCTTGCGGCTTCCCCTCCAGCTATTTCATAGCAATAGAGATACTTCATCTGTAAATGCAAATTCAGGTATCTGCTCTGTCTGGGCACGTCCATACATTTAGTTAACCAAATATTGGTATATTGTTAGTCTTAGCCTGTTGTTCTGAAACTTCTTCAGTTACCCAATCAATAGCTCGGTCTCAACATAGCTTAAATATTGAGCTTATTCTTCTTCTTTTGATCCTTTCTGTGTATCTTTTTCCAGTCATTAGGGATGGTTCCTTGATTCTGTGTGTAACCCAAGTATCCTCTCTGACATGGAAGAATTTCTAGCTCCTTGCACTGATGTGACATACAACCTTGCAGTTCCCTTACTGTGTAACGTTACTAAGAGGGAGGCTCCCCCCAGCCAGGCTATGTACTGTAAACTACCATGGGATTTCATCACCATGCACCCCTCTCGCCACAACGTCCTTCTGCCCGGCCTTGACAAGTGCAGTTATGTATCATTTCACACAGAGAGCTGCTGTAAAGATCACTCTGCCCTCTTGCTTTGACCAGGCTACCCATCTCAGCACATTTCTGCTGGCCCCATCCCTTGGTTGCATCAAAAACTATGTCTCTTTTTCTAGATCCTTCCCAGCACGTTCCTGCCTGTCTTGATTTCAATGTGAAGTACTGACCTTTGCCTTGAATTGGTTCACAGCATCAGTTTCTATAACCTACTTGATAAAAATTTTTGAGTGCCTTTGTGCTCTTTTCTGCAGCTCTCATGTGGAGGTTTCTCCGTATATTTTGCAAAGCGATCTCATTATCCTCCTCAACATTTCCCTTTTCCACTATTTTGTTGCTGCCTGTTTTTTATTGCTGTCTACTGCCTTTCTGAGACTACTAGGCACGGTATCTGTTTTGCACTTCTCCATAACATAGTGGCATCAGGCTTTCTAGGCACATTAGCAATACAAATAATGATCATGGTAACAAATGAGCTCTATATTTATTTATTGAGCAACAGCATTCAATCGCTGCTCTTCCTTACCATTATCTAGCCCAAACAGAAGTCAGAAACCTGTTGCGTGTCCATCTAGAGAGCAAGCCCTTTAGAGCAGGTGCTGTTGTCTTCTGTTTGGTGCAGCACTGTGCATGCAGCCAGTGCTCTATGATCGAGAAGAGAAAGGAGAGCATGGTGACCAGGTGCCCCTGGTGATTTTCCTGTTTTCTTTTCCACTGTAACTCATACAGAAAGACAGACACGAGACCGCAGCAACGTGCAGATCTTGTTCCCTGGAATGTTTTCTTTCATCTGTAATCACTTCATCAAAATCCATAAATCAACTAGTTAAGACTAAAAAGCACAAACATGACTGTAATTTGTGCCTTCCTGCCCAGTGTTTCTTTTGGCACGTGAAACACCAAACCTTTTCCTGAAAAAATTGATGATGACACTGGGCAAGGATTCGGTGCAACTGGACAGCGAGGCCACTTGCATTCCAGGTCCACTGCCTGCTTCCATAATCCCTGCTTCCTTTTCATTCATCATAGAAGATTCAGAGAGTAAAACAATGGTTTGTATTTCTGTATTTACTCTGGAAATCAGAATTTCAGGCTTGTTTTCCAGTGCTGGGTGCTGTTAACACATAATTGGCCCATGCAGGCCATGAGACCGTGTGGGAAGGAAGCCTTGATTGAGATGCCAAGGCTGCGGCCCCTGTCACATGTCCTCGCCTGGCTCCAGCAGCATGTAGGGAGATTAGCACCTTCTGAGCTGCCCCGTGGCTCTGCCGTGGTGATTACTGCTCTCTGACATCTGTCAGCGTCACCACGCTATGGCTCCTTCAGCTGCTGCTCTCCAAACTGTCCCAGGAACTGTAGAAACCTCATCAGTCTGGTCTAACTGGGAGCAGTTCCATCTAACAGGGTGGGAAGTGGTCCGCTGAGCAGCGGTCCTCGATCTGAAGGGATGACACCTTCACTGGGGAGATGCTGGTGGGCATGAGGAGGGGGTGATGGCAGTCCCGGACGGGCAAGGACAGGAGGCAGAAGCAGGAGGCTGAGGACGTGGACCTGGTGAGCAGCAACTCTGCTGCTTTTCCTGAGCAAAGCCTGGCTTGGAGCAGGCAGGTGGACCCCGAATGGCTTCGTCCAGGCATCTTGGAGAGAAAGCTTGCTTTGTTTCCTTTGGGAGAGGACTCCAGGGACTCTTTTTTCTGATCTTTGAGCAAAAATATATGAAATTGCTCAAAATCCTAAAACCTGTACTGGGCTGGTGGGACCTGCCAAAGTGGCTGGTGCATCTAGTTGGAGCGGTGTGTACCTTAGGTGCAGAAGCTACTGAGCTTTTCAGAAAACATGGAGTTTTCTAGTCAGGAGAGCAACGGCGATGTTTGAAGGCGGTAAAGGCAACCATCTTACGCTGTTGCTGGGGCTGATTGGCCTCCCCTTGAATCAAGAGGAGAACGGTTAAGTTCAGGAGTCCCAGCCCTGTCACCTGTTGCACCTTGTGACAGAAAAAGAGCAAAACTGTGTTGCTGAT